AGTCTGGATGAAGAACTCTTAGGCTTCAGCTTCATAAGAGTCCTCTCAAAATGTGGAAGCTAAACTATATTTTTCCCCCTGGGAAAAGTGATTTTCATCCTATCCATTAACTTGCCCCTTTAGAATGTATCTGTATTTGTTTCCTCTTTCTTGTGAAACACTGTCTGATCCCCAAGTACAATAGCAGAAGCTTCAAATATCATCTTTGGTCAACAGTTTTTCCATCAGAAAGAGGAATTATACTTTTTGTATAAATGTTCAATGCTATTTATAACCATCATTATTTCTAAATTGATCACAAGCATTTCACAGAAAGAGGAGAGAGGGGCTGCTGCTCAGATATGCGCTCATCATTACATGTTCCATGAACATGCACTGGGGGAGGGATGTACTTTGGAGGCGCCACTGCTGGGTATACAAGCATCCCTTGAGACTCAATCAAGGTGTGTCTCCACTGGTCTGGGGACCATGGTTAGAAAGGCCATCCCAAAGCATATTATCTGTATGTCTTGTTGGTGACTGTTGGGAGCAGGGGAACATAAGTATCATCCTGCATAAAGCATAAGACCTCCTGTAATCATTGGCTCAGTCTGGGGATGGTAACAGACTCAGGCAGGAGATGAAACAATCTCTACACTTAAGAGTCTTTTATCATTAAAATGTTCTCAAAAGAAAATTATTGACTTCACTGAGGCACTAGCTTTCTGATGAAGCAAATATATCGCCCATATACTCTATTCTTTATCCTATTTTTGATTTAAGTCTTATTTTCTTATTTCTACTTCTCTACAGCTCTAGGTGTTGCTATTTTTATCCTGTATTTCATCCTGTAAATAGTATACCTTCTATCTTAAGCTTCTATCATTTTTACTATACAGGCAATCCCCAGGTTAAGAATGTTCGACTTAAGGACAACTCTTACTTACATAACATCAAGAGTCTGGATGAAGAAGATCACTACAAATATCTGGGCATCCTTCAGGCTAACAACATCAAACACACTGAAGTAAAGAAGGTTAGTAGTGAATACATCAGAAGAGTGAAGAAGATCTTAAAGTCCAAACTCAGTGGAGGAAATATC